GGAGCGGGGCGGGCAGGGAAGGTTGCAGGCGCCAAAGGGTTAATTTAAAATGACAGCGCCAGGCTGGTGGGGAAGATGTTTGGAGTGGGGAAGGAAGAGCTGGCTTGCGAGCGGTTGGAAATGCCGTGGTGGGGTGCACCCGTGGCGGCTTTGTGGCAGGGGTGGCAGGAAAGAGCCGCCGGGTCAGAAAGGCAGGTTCTGGAGGAGAGGGACGCGGCGGCTGTAGCATCTCGGGGCAGGAGAGCGGTCGGCCTGCTCGCCGGCAGAGGGGGTTCACCGTGGAGCCCTGTTTCAGTTTTCTTAAATGATAGGAAGAGAACGACTGCTTTCGAGTTCAGTTGTTTTTTTAAAAAATTGAAATCTGTTTTAAAACCTGACCCACTGAGCGGCTCCCTTGGATAAGAATGGTGTTTAGCCCTGGCTGGTGTGCCTCAGTGGGTGGAGCGTCGGCCTGCGGACTGAAGGGTCCCAAGTTCGGTTCTGGTCAAGGGCACATGCCCAGGTTGCCGGCTCCATCCCCAGTAGGGGAGGTGCGGGAGGCAGCCAGTCAATGATTCTCTCTCATCATTGATGTTTCTGTCACTCTCATCATTGATATTTCTACCTCTCTCTCCCTCTCCCTTCCTCTCTGAAATTAATAAAGATATATTAAAAAAAAGAAAAGAATGGTGCTTAGAGGCTGGAAGGTGTTAAGGCATCAGGGGAAAGTGAGCTTATTAAATGTGTTACATAGACCCCTCCACCCCCCAAAATCTCTATATTTTAGAATCTTAAGGTAGCAGGGAAGTCATTTATTATTTATTTGTACTTCGGAGCTGCCTTAAGGGCACCTTATATGCTGAAACATATTCCTTCAGATATCAGGAAAGCTGTGGTGATGGGGTATTACTGTGCTAGCATACCTTGCAGCTGCCTAAAAATAAACATGGTTTCTACAGTTGTGTTAAGGTTGCAGCAGTCCCTGTTCTCTCTCTCTCTCTCTCTCTCTCTCTCTCTCTCTCTGCCAAGGGCTGAGCACGGGAGCAGAGGGCTATTCATTGTGTTTGCTTTCCAAATGAATTGCATTAGGCAGCGGCTGTTGTATTGAAGGATGCATTCTGCAAGGTGGAATGGGAGCTGGGGTAGATTTCATGAAAATACCTCATGGTGTTGATTTGTGGAAGTTACTCAACATGGAGGTGGCACTGCTCGGCAACTGTACTGCAGTCCAGGGGTGTGATGGCACCGTAATTACAACACACCGTATCCTTACATTGGAGGGGGAGCAGGAGAAGAAATCAAGGAAATGTCACCCACAAACCATGGTTAAGTAATGTTCAGGCTGCGAGTCAAAACAGAAGGGCATGAAATGCACTCTGGTGCCGGGGGCTCTGCTGGCTGTGGAGGTTTCTCTCGGTTCCTGAGGTAATGGCCTCTTTGCAGATGTTCCTAGGCAGGAAAAGTGAGGTGAGTCAAGGATAGAGTGTCAGTCTGAACTTGGCATTTGCTGCTTCCGTTGTGTATTGCAGTCTTAGTGTTGTTTAAGCTTGTTTCTCTTTTTCCAGTTGTTGTTTGGCCTCTACTGAAATCTATGTACAGCTAAGTAGATGTTACGGAGGCAACATCAATATCACTGTCTAACCCAAATAAAATTCTTATTTATAGGGTATAAGTGGCACAGTTGGCACCTTTTCTCAGAACATTTTAATGGGATGTTTTCAGTGATAATAGACTTCCATTTTCTATTTGACTCTGTAGTTCTCCCTTTAGAGTTAAAAGACTACTTTTAGTCAATATTCAGATAAATAGGTATCATTTTCTTCTGTTGTCAAGTGCAAACCAGCAAAGCAGTATGCATATTTCATCATTGATAGGATTTATGGGTAATACTTTCTATTCCAATTCTTCCAAATGTTTGCTCATTGTTTAGATGACACCCATCCACCCAACCAGACCCCTTCAAATAGCACTGCAATCCCTAATGGCATTGTGACTGTGTGAGCTTTTAATCCCTTCTCAATGCACTCTTTGGACTTTGCCCTCGAATATAGCGTCTTGGAGTGGAAGTAGAGAGGATAGATAGGATTTGGAGAACCCTAGGGCCTCCTAAAAGAACCTAAGGTTAATTCTGGAAACTACCAAGCTGACTTGGAGCCACATGGTTAGCCGTCGCAGGGACCATGCCATTTAAAAGGCATGTTGTGGCCCCTCCCAGTGAGGAGGATCTTCTTTCAGAAGAATGAACTACAAATTCCCCCACGTCCCTACCCAGCTAGGTTAGCCCCTAAGATTAAGCAATGTAATGTTCCTTGTCTTCTCTCTTGTGTTTAAGGAAAACTATTTAGGTTAATGTCTGCCTATTAAAAATAAGTTGGATTGCTGTGGTCCATGGAAAGAGGTAGAAGACCAGATGGATTCCTACGTGGCCTAAGTACCTGCATTTAATTTTTTGTGTATTAAGTCTGCATTTTGCCGCTCTCTTTTAGCTCCTTGCTCGGATTGAACGTATGGAAAGGCGGATGCAGCTGGTAAAGAAGGATAACGAGAAAGAAAGGCATAAGCTGCTTCAGGGCTATGAAACTGAAGAGAGAGAGGAAGCGGAGCTCTCTGAGAACATTAAACTGGAGTGCCAGCCAGAGCTGTCTGAGACGCCCCAGACTCTGCCTGCCAAGCCTTTCTCGTGTGGGCGGAGTGGAAAGGGACACAAAAGGTGTGCTTAACTTTGTGATGCTGTCTGGACATGAGGAGGACACTTATTTCCAGTGACTGGCAGGAGGGGATTGGGACTTAGAAATTAGCTTTACTACAACCACATTCTGAATTATGAGGTCTTCTGTGTTGAGAAAGTATCTTGAGACATTTTTGTGCAGGCTATAAAAGTCTGTTAGGAACAGTTTGGTCACAGTAGTAATTACAGAATGCAGAGTACATCATAAAGAGAATGGACAACAAATGTGACAGCTGAGGTTCTTAAAGAAAACTATAGCAGTTCACCTCAAGTCAGGAAGTGTTAAACTCCTTCATTGTGCTAGGTATTGGTGGATATAAAAAAGTAAGATCCCCAAAAAAGTAAGATCTAACTGTCCTTAGACTCAAAGAGATTAGCTGAAAGGATGGCATAAATTTTAAAAACTAACAATTCGACTGCAATAAAATATGCAGATAGACAACAGTAAGATGAACTAAGTTTTCTAAGATTCAGGGATAGTAAAGATTATTTTGAGTTAAGTAGGAGATGGATCTTGAAAAAGAAGTATAGACTTTAGGTTGCTAAAAAGAAAAGGAGATGGCATTCTAGGAATGTGGGGTAGTGGTGGTGGGGGGGGGTGGGGAGGATATTGGTAGGAGAAAGAGAGCCAGCAGATAGCAAGAAAAAAGAAATAGAGATTGTAACTATCGTAGTATAGGATGGGTGGGGTGGGAGGAGAAAGAAGAGCTTGGTCTTTGGTTGACAGTAATGAAATAAGCCACAGGGTAGTGGCACCTAATATTAGCTGAAGTGTCTTGAATAAAATAGGGACCTTTTTAGTTTTAGTAGGCAATAGAATGCTATATAAGTTTTTAAGCATGCAAACTCGTTCAGTAAACATTTACTAAGGGTCTATTATATATACACTGTTAAGCATGAGTCTATTCCTGCTTATGGCTGTCAAATGAACCTAGATATTTGGATACCTGAATACAAGCTAGTTCTCTTACCCCAAAATGAAATCAAATCAGATTTTATCCAAGAGTCAATGAATTGTATTATGTTTTCTCCCCTATCTAATAGGAAATCCCCATTTGGAAGTACAGAAAGAAAGATTCCTGTTAAAAAGCTGGCTCCTGAATTTTCAAAAGTCAAAACAAAAACTCCTAAGCACTCTCCCATTAAAGAGGAACCCTGTGGTTCCTTATCTGAAACTGTTTGTAAGCGTGAATTGAGGAGCCAAGAAACTCCAGAAAAGACCCGGTCTGCAGTGGACACCCCGCCAAGACTCTCCACTCCCCAGAAGGGACCCAGCGCCCACCCCAAGGAGAAAGCCTTCTCAAGTGAGATAGAAGATTTGCCGTACCTTTCCACCACAGAAATGTATTTGTGTCGTTGGCACCAGCCTCCCCCATCACCGTTACCATTACGGGAATCCTCTCCAAAGAAGGAGGAGACTGTAGCAAGTAAGGCATAGAGAACACTTGCTCTTATACCCTAGTGGTGGCGGTCAAGCTAACAAGTGTGAAAATGCCCTTGGCATTTTTTAAAAAGTGCAATCAATAAAGCAGAGTTCTGTCAAGAATGAGTAAGTTAACAGCCAGAGACAGACACTGTGCAGGCATTGCAAATAGATGGAATTACAGCAAAATGTGCTCAATGTATTTGCCTGCGTACAACACTGGGAGATGTGTTTGCCAGTAAGTTGCTCATCACAAGAGCACCAGACTTGGGGGTGTAATCTCCGGCAACTTGCATGCCCTCTGAAAGAAGGGTTTTCTGTGCTGTGAAATGCATAGAACTTATACTTTGCTATGCACGACTGTTCCTGCAATTGATATTGTGTGAAACCTGGGAGGGTGGTCTTTGGGTGTTCTCAGGGGCCAATGGTAATTTTTGGGTTGGGGAGCCAGCTTGGGGTGGGGAATTTCACCTGGGCCTCCGCTCTTTAACTATATAAACATTTATCTGTATCTCTATGTCCCGGTCTGGGGGGCAGGAGGAATCTATGAAAGACCAACAGTCTTACTTTATCTTACTATACTTCACAAAGGTTCTAAATGTGAAGAGTTTACTTGGATTGCAGTAGCCCATTGGTTGTTCATATATTTAAATAAAATGGTCTACAAACTATTTTTCAAACAATAAGGACTATCTTGGGGTATCTGAGCTGCTTGGGGAGGGTGTGGGGTGTGGGACCTTGGTCTTCATTCCCTTTTTTCTTTGGGCTTCCACACAGAGATACTCCCCTATCTCCTACATCCATCAGTAACTGCAATGTGCCTTCAATTGTGTAATGTTAGTCTGTGATAGTCACTGTGGGTGCTCCGGGTGATGGTCGGGGAAGCCTTCTTGAATAGAACTGCAGCCCCGAGTTTCTACTACTGTGTCTTGCCCCAGCAGGGATGGGGATGGGAATCCATTCCAATAAGATAAGAGCATTCTCCAGGCTTTGTCAGGCTGTTCTGGTTACAAAATTAAGTGGGGAAGATAGATTACTCTTCTTAATTATCTAAAATTCATTAGGCCTCACATTTGAGTACATGAAATAGACCAGGATCCTGACCTAGGTTTAGGTTTTTTGTTGGTTCAGTCAGTTGAACAGGTTCATCCTTAAGTTAACCTTCTTGCTGTCATGGCAATACTGTGTAACAAGAGAAACGGTGAAGCAACTTCCCATCCGGGATTGGGAAATAGCTTGGTCCAGAGCTGTTCTATGTGACTGGCTGTTTTTGAAAACCGTATCTGCCCTAGTACAGAACATTTGAAGCACCTCTGAGATTGTGGGCATAGCAGGCAGTACAGAAGGAGTCTGATTGGGGAGGGTGGGGGGGATCCCAGTCCTTTGAGGAGCCTGAGTCGTGAATAACATGTGAATCCTTATTCTTGATGCCCTATCTCAAGAGGAAGTCTCAATGGCTTGTTCTAAGGAAGCCAAAGTCTTTGTGCATGTTGTTCAGGCTGGACCAGCAAGGTAGTTTGTGTGGAGGGAGGAGGGAGCTGTTTAAGAAGACTACATATGTAAGTTTTGAGAACACTGATCTTTTATTTGAAAAATAGGGTCAACTTTTACTCACCTGCCATGTTCTGAGTTTAAGGTTTGATATCCTTGGCCATCAACTGTTGCAGGGAAACCACCCTAAATAATGAAGAAAAGAAGTCGTCTCAGTGTAAAAAAAAAAGTGGTGGGCTTATTTTCTTTTCTTTTGTCTGTTGTTCCCTCTTCCCCTCCCCCAGAGAGAAATTCTCAAAAGAACAACTCAAAAAAACCACATGGCTTCCTAGTGAGAACGTCAGTGATGCTCCTTTCCTCCATTTTGGGTATGGGCTTTTTTTCTTTTTACACTGAGATGATTTTTCTTTCCTGCATTATTTAGGGTGTCTGATGCCATCAAGTGTTGCAGGAGAAACTTCAGTCTTGGCTGGTGAGTAGAATAGGAATTGTGCCGGCTGGGCCTGGGGGGGCTGGGGGGCGGGATGGTGGATGGTTGGGAGCTGCGTTCCCCATCAGCTGGATGTGGGAGAGTGAGACTCCTCGGTGTATGATTACACTATAGACTTCAAAATGACTACAAATTTCAGTTGTTTTTCAGGAACTGCAATAGCATCCATTATATGAATTGTCAGGTATTGGCTTAGGGTTTTTTTGTGATCCTGTGTTTGGCAGACTGCAATGGCATTTTAGGTTTTTTTATACCATAGCGAGGACACTGAATATGGCTTCAGGTGAGGCCATAGAATGGATTCCTATCACTTGGTAACTTTGTCTAACTGGGGAGAGACCTCTTGTCCTAGTGAATAGGAGGAGGGTTGTGTGATCTTGGATTTAAGAGTGGTTCCACCCCTCCTCCCTTTCTTTTTCTTTTTCTCTTTTTTTTCTCTAGTTCCTTCTTGGAGGGACCACTCAGTAGAGCCTCTAAGGGACCCAAATCCTTCAGACCTTTTGGAGGTAGGTACCCAAGACCTGTCAGTGGAAGGTAGTGAGAGACAGAGTAGAAATAGGAGTGTAATGTGAATATGTCATAATAACTGTATGGATGGGCTAAATAAAGCTTTAAAGCCAGAAGGTTCCTTGAGAGATTATCCACTCCAACTCTTTGTTGTATAGATGAGAAAACTGAGGTCCAGGGTGGTTAAATCATTTAGCTAGGGAGTGTTCAAAGCTAGAGTTCATGTTAAGTAGAAAAGTTAGCATGAGCTACCACTCAGCAACAAAATTATATATTCCAAACTCATTTGATTCTTAAAAGTTTGATATTTATTTTAAACTCTGATTCTTATCAAGTATGGTGGGTTTATGACTGTCTCATGAGTTGTTTTAGTTTAATGTGACTTCCACTTTGGAAAGTTATGGAAATGACTTTGAAATTTAAAGATTCCACAAGGCTGGGGATAGGGGAAGGAGAATGTTTTATTGATTCTGTTACCAGGAGGTTCCCATAATATCCATAGAACTCACAGACTCAAGTGGGACCTGAAGGTGAAAGATTTTACCTTCCTGGAAGCTGGAAGTGAATTAGTATATGTGCGTCACATGGTGATAAAAAGCTTATCAAATTCTGTTCTTTACACAGAACCTAGATGACAGTGTGTTTTCAAAGCGGCATGCAAAACTGGAGCTGGATGAAAAGAGAAGGAAAAGGTGAGGCTAGCGATATGTTCATCCTGGGATCAGTTGAGCCCTGGGACCCTGACACCTCTCTCGTCCATGCTGTGGAGAGTCCTGGGTCTCTTAAGACTTTTAAGTTACTGGCTTCCCAGTTGGTTGAGTATTTTTGTTTGAAGTGGTAGTTGTAGGTAAAATGTTTGGCTTCTTTTTCTTCGAGTGTGCTCTTTCTCAGTTCCACTCTCTGTTGAACATCAGCACATGATTTGAACTGCTAGAGCTAAACAGTGTTCTGTAACCAGGCAGGCAGTTCTCTGGAAAAAAAATACAATCCTCCACCCCATCCCGCTACCCCCAATCAAGAAGAGTCAGCAAAGATCTTCCTAGCATCTGGATTGTGTGAGTTGCTTTTATAGAGAAGGTTTTCAGTAATGTTGGGTTTGTTTATTTTGTTTGTCTGGTTTGTTTTTCCCAGATGGGATATTCAGAGGATCAGGGAACAAAGAATTTTACAGCGACTACAGCTCAGAATGTATAAAAAGAAAGGAATTCAGGAATCTGAGCCTGAGGTTACCTCATTTTTCCCTGAGCCAGATGATGGTAAGTTTTGTCTATCTAAAAGAGTAAATGTTTTTTTAAAGAAGAAAAAGGGCACAAGGCTCCAGGTTACAACTTGTTCTGAATGAATGAACAGTACGTTGGAGCAGGTATAGTTGACAGACCTTTCTCATCTACGTCACTAACAAGGTTGCATTTGGCTTTCTTCCATAGTTGAAAGTTTGATGATTACTCCCTTCTTGCCTGTTGTAGCATTTGGACGACCATTACCAAAATTAACTCCACAGTAAGTATAAAGGGTTCTTTTTCCCTCCCCTCTCAGGTAGCTGGTACTTCATCTCCCTTTAGACTGTATGAAAACCTGGATATAAGTGAAACGGGTAGCTTAGGGGTTAGCCATGGTTCTTTGACAGAAGTGAGACTACCTGGGCAACTAGCTTTTGCAGTGATAAGATTCCCAAGCCCAGAAATAGGAGGATTTGCTTTTTAAGTTGGAAATAGATTATTCAATCACTTTGAGGCAGGAAAGACATTCTAAAGTTGGGACTTTGGAGTCAGGGCTAGGAGTGGTGAGGGACATTGTGTGTGTTTTTTTCAGAGTTATTCTCATGTCCACACTGACTCCCTCTAGTCTTAGACGTTGATTTCCTTATCCTCTTTGCCAGGAATTTTGAGCTGCCCTGGTTGGATGAGCGTAGCCGATGCAGGTTGGAGATCCAGAAGAAGCAAACACCTCACCGGACGTGTAGGAAATAACTGTGCTGGCAAGAACCTTCTGTCTTCAGATAGTTGTAGCGTGCCATTCCCAGAGAGTGGCAGAGACCTGTATATGTGACCTGTGTCCTCATGTATGTTATTCACTGATAATGCCCTTCCATACTCCCTTGATCTTGGTTTTGTTTTCATCATTCTGATTTCACAAAAACTGTTTCATTGGGCTGTGAGTTATAGAAGGTGATTGGGATATCTTTTCCTCTTTTGGGGAAATGAGCTCTCAATCTAAATCTCTAGGGTGGCAGATTTGGAAGCTTGCAGGGTCTGCTTCTATACATTTGCCTATGTTAATGGGGTAAAAGGGCTCTTTCATTACACTTGTGGAAATAAAGCATCCCCTGCCGTTAGACCTGTGCTGCATGGCACTCTTCTTGCCCTAGTATACCCTTCCATGTAGTTTGAGTATAGTGGTTTTTACCCTAAAACAAAACAAACAAAAAAAACCCAACACCATGAGCTTAAGGACCAGATGAGGAATTATTGAAGTGATGAAGCAAGTCATCTTCACAGGGTAGAAGTGTTTGGAGAGTTTGTAGATAAATATCTGAAAAGACAGTTCTCTTAAAACTACTCTGTGATATAGCCATGTGGGAAAGGCTGTGATTTTTTTTTTTTTTTTTGAGTTAATGGGTAACTGAATTTTTTCCCCTACCCCTCAAAAAATAAAATCTTTGGAAAACAGAATGGGGATGGTTACTTTTGGACAAGTTATGGCTCTAAACAAAAGCAGTTGACATTTGGGGATGGCATGCCAGAACCTGTATAGACGTCCTTGTGTCACATCACTTCTCAAGTATTCCTTTGTTGAGCTTTATCCTTTTAGCTGAGCTCTTGGTGGTGGGATAGAAATTTAGGGAGGGTGGGGGGTGTATGTGGAAATATGTGCTTCCTTTGGCTCGAAAATGTCTACATCTTTAAACAAACAGGTGTACCTAATGAGCTTCTCTATTCACTTTGTAAAAACTGATTTGTATGTGTACCATCTTGGTCCACCACCACCACCACCACACCCCTTTTGTTAAAAACGTCAGCCCAGCACTCCAGGCCACTTTAGTCTCAGTGTAAGATCCCTGTAACTATCTGGAAGGAAAATAGAGCCAAGACCTCTGGTCTTCAATATATAGGAATTGCCTTTCTTTAGCCTTCAGGACTACCGTGTGAAAACAAGTAGGGGCCTAATCTCCTAGAAGATAGGGACTTTCATCCTTGAAGAGAGTAAGTCCCCAGATTATTAGCACTTTTAGAGGAGAAGCCAAGGTATGTAGGGTGTGTGGCCGGCCCATCAGTGGAGCATGAGAGAATGGGATACCATTGTGGGAAGAAAAGTTAAGTTCCTCAGGGGCCTCCCACTGCTAGAGCTTTTTGTGAGATGTTGATCTGTGCTCCCTGGGTTTTAAAAATAATTATTCCGGCAGCACATGTAGTATTCTTGGATGATCTTGCTGCTCTTATTTCTCGTGTGTGTGTGTGTGTGTGTGTGTGTGTGTGTGTGTGTGTGTGTGTGTGTCTGGCTGTGGCTTTGGGTTTTCATTTGTAACTCCCATCTGCTTAGGAGAGTGGGCTCTCCACAAGGGAACCTGCTATGAACTTCATTGCAAGAGTGTAGAGAGAAATAGGACTTATTCCACTAGGGGCTCTCGTCTCACACCTTGAGAAGAGGAAGGGGATTTCCAGAGAAACGGCCAGATTTTCTTTGTTCTCCATCATTTTAACATGGCAAGTTGTTCGGTTTTCCTACTCTGCTATGTTTCTTTATAATGTGCCCAAGAAGAAAAAAGACCATTTAGTGTCTTTACTTTGTTCCTCGATTCCTCACAGTTTCTTCTTGATTTTCAGCATTTTTATTGGATTCCTAATTTGGGTATGAGTTAGCAAATTAATCTTTTGTTTGTGCCCTACCCAGAGGACTCCCCAGATTCTGAACTTGAGCTAGACGAAGAGGAATCCATGAGGTGCTATCTGGCCAGACTTAAGTGGATTCTATTTCCTTGGTTCTCCCTCTACCTAGAACCTCTTATTTTATTGTCCCCTCTTTTAGATCAATTCTCCTTTGATTTGGATATATTGAGGTTTATTGAGAAAGATTTTGGAGAGTAGATTAGCAAAGTTCCAAGAGTGAAATTACAGTGTGTTAAGAATGTGGGGGGAAAATTCATCTTATTTTTCCCCTACATGGAGTACAACACTGTGAAATTCAGTCTTCAATTGAAGGCCCTGCAGTTCTCCTAAAACATAGATCTTTGTTTCTTTCTTTAACAAAGTTTAAGCTAGTGTTAATAAATTAAAAAGAAATTGCTTGTCTGTCCACTTCAGCTTTGTTTTAAGCTCATTTCATATTGTTGTCTGTGTTGTAATTCATACTTTTGATACCATTTCTGATGTGTAAAATTGGTTGTCTTGTAAATATCTTATAAAAGAGTTCAATTGTAAATAAACTACTGTGGCTGTTAATTTTTGAACTTCTGCTTCAATTTATTTTATTGGGAAGCATTAAACAATTCGGTTTGTAGATTTTATTTATTTTAATATATTTTATTGATTTCAGAGAGAAAGAGAGAAACATCATTGATGAGACTCATTGATCAGCTGCCTCCTGCATGCCCCCCACTGGGTATCTATCGCACAACCTGGGCCTGTGCCATGACCGGGACGCAATCGAACCGTGACCTCCTGGTTCATAGGTTGATGCTCAATCACTGAGCCACGCTGGCCGGGCTTTCTTTTTTATTTTTTTTTAACATTAAATCATACATCCTCCATTTTGAACTAGGGCAGTTGGTTTTTGGAACTGGATTTACAAGTTGTCACACTTGGCAACTTGTTTAAACAGTTGAGATCTGTTTGGACCCTGGTTCTATCTCTGAAGGCACTGAGAATGCCTTCTAGTTTCATATTGCCTGTAACTCTGATAAGCATCAGGATCCTTAATCATACTTGTAAAGATATTACACATGACAGAATCCTGTGCCACAGTGACCTTTTCCCAATATATGTATATTATTAAGGTGTATTCTTGTAGATGCACTAATAGCTTAGCTCACATATCTTGTATGTCATTATGGTCCAAAGAAAATACAAGTGGGGGAAAGGGTTTACAGTTATTTTTATGGAATACAATAATTAGTACAAGAATAAACTTGTGCGTACACACAACTGCAAACCTACTTTTGCCCCACTTGGTAGCCTGATTTTTTTTCAGTCTGACAAACGCCTTGCCAAAACCAAAGTATTTCCCCATCTGGTTAACAAGGAAATCATGTCACTATATTGAACCAACGACGGTTCCCAATCGTCTTCTCTTTTTTAAATCAGTTCTAAAATCTTGGTAAGACTAGCATCATGCCAGCCTGCACTTTGGGAGAAGTGATGGCTGGGGTGGAGAGACATGAATGAAGAGGAAATGAGAACGCAGGGAAAGTGCAACAGGAAATCCCGGGCTTCGCTGCAGACAGTCATGGTTTTTCCTTCACCCTTTAGCCTAAAATGGGACGGTGTGGCAAACCTGATGATGCAGCACTGCTTTAGAAGTTTACCTTGATTCGTGATTTTACCACACAAATGCAGTAAAGTGATTTGCTTCAAACGTAGGCAGAAACAAGAAATTGAAAAAAAAAACCACCATGAACAGCTCCAATGCCGCAGTGAAGCTGTGACAGGTCGACGCCTTCCACTCGGAAAGCCCAAGATGGCCGGGCGAGCAGCCTCAGGAGGCTCCCCAAACGCAGACGCCCCTCGCCCTGAGCCTACCCAAAGGAAGTCGGGCGGCCCACCACGCCCCCTGACGTAACCCATTACGTAATCCGCTCGCCCGCAAACGTGCCGCAGCGCGCCGGGCCCGCCCCCAGCGCCCAGCTCCCGAAAAGCGGGCGGTCAGTACCTCACGCAAAGCATGCTGGGACTGGCTTTCTAGCCTCCCGGCGGCCCCTGCGACGGGCGTACGTAAGGAACTGGGTGGCGGCGGCCGTTCTCCGTAAGATGGCTGACCGGCGGCGGCAGCGCGCTTCGCAGGACACAGAGGACGAAGAGTCTGGTGCTTCCGGCTCCGACAGCGGCGGTTCCCCGGCTCGGGGCGGCGGGGGCTGCAGCGGCAGTACT